AAAAGGTTTAGAAACCACTCATCTTATAAAGCTTTTGAAACAAAAACACTAAAAATTGATCCCTTTTGAAACTGGGCACTTGAAATCAACTTGAAATCACCTCTTTTTTGCAAACCGGACAACACTTCTTTAAACCTCTCAAATTTCTCAAAATGGCAGGAAAAGGTAAATGAGGGGGATGAAGCCCCTTTTATACCTTCTAAACAAGGAAGGTAAGCTACTTTACCAAGCCACGTGCATGCATATAAACCTTCATATACACCTATGCATATATCTACTAACACATACATGCATACATACTTCATGCATGCACAYACATAAACACATATGCATGTATTATGCACATAATTTTCATACCAGCATGTATCAAACTATCATGCTACCACGTAATCATTTAATCAAATAATCACATATAACTTACCTTGAGTAATAACGAGGATCCGGTTATTACAATGAATACTCGAAGAATAACTAGAAACGGCGAAGGAAATAATAAACCACGAAGACAAAGATCCAGAATAAATCCACAAGAATCTACCAGGGGATTGATATAGCACCAGAAATTTCCCGAGGTATCCAGGAAAGTCTACCAAGTGTAATAGCTCAAATTCAAATTGCTGTTAATCAAAACTCAGAACATGAAGGGGGTAGTAGAGAATCGGGTAAGGCATGAACCAAATGATGGTCAAACTCATGAATGTGACTATAAAGCATTTACAAATGCTAGTCCATCCACGTTTGAAGGAAAAGAAGGACCAATAGTTGACAGGAACCGGTTACAAGACATGACAAGTTGTTTTCAAACATGTCAGTGTGCCTCCGCTCAACAAGTAAGGTTTGCCTCAACCAAGTTAAAATTGAATGCCCTTTATTGGTGGAAAACTATTCAATCTATGAAAGGTGTGGCAGAAACAGCCGCAATGCCATGGAAGGAATTCAAGGATTTGGTCTATAAAAGATATTGCTCAGATACTCGAATGAAAATAATGGAGGAAGAATTCGTAAAGTTAGAACAGGGAAGCAAATCTATAGAAGACTATGTGAAAAATTTTATAGAAAAATCTCGATTCGCAACTTACCTTGTCGCTACAGAAGCTCGGAAGGTGAATCGTTTCCTACTTGGCCTAAGGAAAGATCTACGCAGATTTGTAAATATGTCACAACCAAAAACATTCCAAGAAGTGGTATAACCGACAATTCTAGCTGAAAATGATTGTTATATACCAAACAATAAGAAGATAGGCGAGGGAAGAAAATTCGAAAGGGGGAACTTTGGCAATCAATTTAAGAAACCCAGGAATGAAGGCATATGATAAACCTGCTTGTCCTAAATGCAATAAGCATCACACTGGAGAATGTGTGATAGGCACAAATGTATCCTACCGATATGGTCAGCCTGGTCATATGATAATTAATTGTCCTGGAAGGAGAAATTGTTACAATTGTGGTTCAACTAGACATCTTGCAAACAACTGCCCAAAACTCAAAGATGTGCAACCAAGGAGAGCAATAGCACGGATCAGTGGAAGTAAAACGGAAACTGGAAAAGCTTAAGGAAGAATATTCCAACTCATAGTTGAAGAAACAAAAGAAATACCCGACATGGTGACAGGTACTTTTCTAATTAATAAACAGCCTGCTAAAGTATTATTCGACTCAGGAGCAAATAAGTCAATGGTGTCTACAAAATTCTGTATGAATTTAAAATTTCCATCTAAGAATTTAGATCAAATAATTGAGATAGAAACAACATATGGTGGAATCACACAAATTGATGAGGTCTACGAAGATTGCTCAATGGAAATTGTTTCATCTTTAAGCTTTTACCGGTGCTCATTAGTATATTTGATATTGTTGTGGGTATGGATTGGTTATCTGAAAACCAAGCCCATATAGTCTGCGACAAGAAGATGGTGAAAATCAAGAATAAGGATGGTAAGGTATTAACCATCTACAATTCTACAGTAATCATAAAAAGAATTCCTTGAATCTTATTTCAGTTCTAAAAGCAAGGAAATGTATTCATAAGGGATGTGAAACCTATTTGGCATATGTAATAGATGCTAAAAAGGAAAATAAATATGTAGAAAAGATACTAGTCTGATGGTCAAAGTGAAAGGACTATTCAAACCTTAGAAGACATGTTGCGAGCATGTACAATAGACTTAAAAGGAAATTGGAATAGTCATCTACCTCTTATTGAATTTGCCTATAATAATAGCTACCATAGTAGTATTCAAGATGCACCTTTCGAAAATCTATATGGAAGAAAATGCAGAACACATATGTATGTTGGATGGAGGTCGGTAAAAAGCAATTGACTGGACCTAAAATTATCCGACAAACAGCTGATAAGGTGATTCAAATAAGAGAAAGACTTAAAAGTTGCGCAAGATAGGCAGAGAAGCTACGCTAAAAAAAGAAGGAAGCCTATTGAATTTCAAGTAGATGACAAAGTACTACTGAAAGTATCTTCGTGGAAGGGGGTTACGTTTTGTCAAAAAGGGAAAATTACGACCACGATATATTGGACTCTACAGGATAGACAAAAAGGTAGGGGTGGTAGCTTATCAACTTGAATTACCAAAAGAGCTTATGGGAATACACAATACGTTTCACGTATCCAACTTAAAGAAATGCCTTGCTAAGGAAGACGTTGTAGCACGGATTGAAGATATCTCAGTTGATGATAAACTCAACTTTGTAGAAGAACCTATAGCTATCACTGAGCATAAAGTTAAGAAACTTCGAAACAAGGAGGTACCATTTGTACTAGTTCATTGGGACTATTCTCATGGATCAGAGACAACATGGGAGGTCGAGTAAAAAATGAGGAATAAGTACCCGCATCTTTTTGAGTAAAATTTCGAGGACGAATTTCTTGTAAGAATGGGAGAATTGTAACACCCTAGTTTCTTTATTTGATAAATTTCAATATTTAAGCCTTAAATGAAAATATTTATGAGTAATTCAAGTACTCCAAGCAGCTGTTACATTTAGTGAAACATCTTAATTATAAGACTAAACAATCTAGTGATAAGTTGTTTAGACTAGAAGTATGTTGGCAAGTCTAGTAAGCATGAATAAGAAATCTAGTGATGAGTTGTTTAGGCTAAAAAAATATGAGTTGGCAAGACTATTGATTACAAGACAAGTCTAGGAAGCATGACAAGGAGTACTAGAAGCATGAGTTGTTTAGATTCTCTTATCCTTAGATGAGTTGTCTAGATTCTCTTATCCTTATTGTTTATATTCTCTTATCCTTAAGAAATGAGTTGTCAAGATTCTCTTATCTTTATAGATGAGGTATTAAACTCTCATAAGAGTACAATCTTGAGAGCAAAAAGAACAAGTAGTTAATGCAATGAATTTATCTATAAATAGGGATTGAAGGGTCACTATTTGTGCATACCAAAAATAAGAAATCTCTCTCTATATACATAATTAAGTTTGAATAAAGGAATCAAAGGAAAAAGTAGGCAAAATCAAGGTGAGTACTTATGTGATTTATGAGATACATGCATGCTATATATAAAAGTATTATATGCATTACAAGTTATGTTGGCATGCTTGTTTTACATAAAAATATTGATACACATACATATTCAAGATATGCATGATGACATGTTCTAGTACAAGTATACACACAAGACATGAAAATCATTTACATGTTATCATATATGTTACACAAGGCATGAAATTTTTTACATGTTATGTGTAACCATAATATCCAACGGGATATTACAAGAAGGGACCTCTTGCAAACAGACCTTATAGGGCAGCCTTTTATGGACCTGGGGGTTAGCAAACCTCAAGACAAGTATGGTATACATGCATGTGAAGTGAGATCTCAAAAGAATGTTTTATGCATGATAAAGAATAGTATTTTTATGAATGTTTATGCATGAGAATAAAGAATATTTTTATACATGATCAAGAGCTTTAATGAATTATCATTCACAAAATATCATGAAAATTTCTCATTCATGAAACCATAAATACTCACTAAGCTTATGTATCTCAGGAAAGAAGTAAGGAGGATTTGCATAAAGTAGATTTTAGTCAATAAGCAAGTTTTGTTGTAATACAAGTTATGGTTACGTTTCCACTAAGTAATTTCTTCTTTGATGTAATTTCAAGATATGTTATAAATAAAGCTGAATTTCTAGTTCAGATTCAAGATGTAATAGTTTTATCTTGTAAAGTAACGGCACCCGATATATAAAGACATGGGGCGTTACAATCATTGCATCGTTGTCCTAAATGTGTACATTAATTACATTCATAAGCTAGACTTCTTTGGAGGACTTGAGTTTTGTATGATGGCAACAATGATTGCTTTATCATATAATATGTGGATGGGTTTTAATAGCTTATCTATTCTTTTGTTGTGAAAATGTACTCCTTCCTTTAGGCCCGTTTGGTGATATGTTTGTAGTAATGTTTTAAAATATGTTAAAAACCTTTGTTTTGAAATAATCAATAATCAATTAATAAAAAAGTAATTTACTTATTTTTATAATTTTTTCTATAAATAATTTATAAAGAATGGAATTCCACTCGATCATACAAACACAACAACAAAGATTCTAAGGGGCCGTTTATCAAACACTTACGCGGTAAGTGCCTACCGGTAAAATTTAACACTATTATTTACTTACCGGGTAAGATTTTAGTCCACAAAAACGACATTGTATGCAACAATTTACCCGGTAAGCGCTTACCGTGGTAAGAGTCGTCGCCCTCACTTATCGGGTAAGACTCTTGATCCTTGTCTCGTTCTTACCGGGTAAGATTTTTGGTCCTTACCATATTCATCCGATGAGATAATGTTACTTGGTAAGTACTTACCCAAGTAAGCATTTGGTAAACGGCCCCTAAATCCTTCTGATTCCAAATCCTTCGCTGAAATCGAAATCTGGCAAAAGCATTCCGTCAAACCAAACAGGCCCTTGCTTACTTTTTGTCCCTTATAAGAGGTTCTGTTCTGGATTCTACAGGAAGAATTACGACCTTACTTTTCCTTGCCTAAAGTTATGGATGGCCTTTTCAACCTTGTGAAGATGCTATTCGACATTGATGTTGTACCAGCTGACGGTTTAGCACCGGTAAGATTATTAATTGCTTTTGTTTTGCCCCTGGTGAAGAGGTTGTTTGCTAGATGACTTGTACCACAGATTTTGCTAATTGTAGGTTTGGAACACTGATGTCAAATTTTACTGCATCAAGGATTCATCAGGCTCCCCGATTTCATATTTTTATTTTGATCCATATTCTCGTCCATCTGAAAAACAAGGTGGTGCATGGATGGATGAAGTTTTTGCACGAAGTCGTGTATGTTCACATGACAACACCTCTGTTAGGCTACCCGTTGCCCATATCGTGTGCAATCAAATGCCACCCGTTGGTGACAAGCCAAGCCTTATGACTTTCTATGAGGTAAACATGTAACTAACCCGAACTTAATTTAATCATTCTTCACATATGAAGTTGGATTATAAGTTGTATATGGCTTAAATATGTATCTTTAAAATAAGTAGTTGCACATATGAAGTTTTGTTGAAAATGCTTTAAACTTGGAGCAAGTGGTTTCATATACGAAGTTGGATCTCTATATGCATTGTGATCACAATGCTTGAGAAACTGGCGATTATATGCATGTTCACATGTATGTGTTGAGCTTGGCTCCAAAGGTCAAAAGTACCACGAGGTCCCAGGTTCAAATGCAGTGACTCCGGGCTATCTGCAAAGCACGTGGTCGCCCTGGGATTAGTCGGCTCGCATAGTGGGTTGGATATCCAGGTTAATCAAAAAAAAACTTCACGTGTGAAAGTTATTTCAATCAACAAATTTGTATGCTCAATAGCATCCGTATCAAAGAAAATTGGATGGAATTAGATAAAATATTATACTTTATAATTAATACTATAAATTTTCCATTTAAAAGTTAGATAATTATGGGATATCGATGAGAAATCATGAAAGATGATAATCATCCGTAAACAAATTGAGAGCCAGATTACCGCAATACCCTTTAATAATATATAGAGAAATGCTAATGGCATCCCTTAGATGAAAGTAAACTAATGGTTGAGGATTGTTTGTACGTTTTTAACCTTTATCATTTAAACTTCGCCCTTATATATAAGGTTGGGTTCCCGTGAGACCAACCTGTTTTCATGAGACCAGTTGTGAAGGCACAAAAACACACTGAACCTTCACTGCAACAACACGGTGAAGGTACAAAGAAAAACGTTACATTGTTTTTGCTATGAAGGTTCGATGTTTCTTTGTACCTTCACAATGTTTTCCTATAAGGTTCAATGTTTTTTATGGTTTCACATGTCTCACTAAAACAGGTTGGTCTTCCTGATCCAAGTCTCTCTCTCTCTCTCTCTCTATATATATATATATAGAGAGAGAGAGAGGGGGGGGGATCAAATGCAAACCAAGCCATTTGTACAAACTGTACAAACCATCCTCATATGTCGATTTCATTGTTTAGTTTAATGAAATTGTTTCATGAGATTGTTTCATATAACTCTTTTCTTGATGAAATTGTTTCATATATTTTTGTTTCTATGTAAAAATGAAATTGTTTCATGTATTTCTTGTTTTCATGGAGTTTGTTTTCTAAAATTAATATAATGGAGATGATAATGTCCATAATTAATGCCCTCCACAATAAAAATGACTAATCAAACCTCATAATTGAAAAAAAAATGAAAAACGAAAAATTATGGTTGGTTGAATGAGGTTTGTACGGTTTATACAACTGTCTTGGTTTTCTTTTGATCCCTCCTCTCTCTCTTTATATATATATATATATATATATATATATATATATTTCCTGTTGTATAATATTTGCTCCGTTGTATGTTCAGGTCTCGACCATATTCCATGAGTTTGGTCATGCACTTCAACATATGCTAACAAAACAAGACGAGGGGCTTGTTGCCGGTATACGTGGCATAGAGTGGGATGCTATTGAATTACCTTCACAGTTCATGGAAAATTGGTGTTACCACAGGTATTTACAAATTGGACATTAACAGATTTACAATTAACCTATACTAAGCCTATGTTCTAAATTATTTGAGATTGTAACTTAACCTCCTAGACCAAATATCTTATGGGCATTGACAATCATAAGCAATGATGAAAATTCCATGAGTAAAGGTGTGAATTAGATAAGTTACATGGCAGATGGCCTTGAATTCGGCCTCTGCACTCTTCTCCTGCTTCTTGCTTCTCCATGTTACCAGATTTCCTCAAACGAAGGTGCAGTAGCCAGTTCTGGACTGTCCATCCGTTCATGAAACTGCGAGTCAGCATCAGTGTAGACTTGAAGGTCTTCTTGAAAAAAGAAGTCCTCACCCGAAATTTTTCTCGAGATGGTGTAGGACATGGAGCACTGCATCCTTCTAGTAGCTTGTGAATGTGTAATCCCCTTGTCGGAGATCATGAAGCAGCCCCTTAATCTCGAAGATAACAGATGTACATCTTTATTAGGAAAAATATCCGTTGTTGCTTCCTAGATTTCTGCAGCCGTTTTGTAGTAGATGTTTCTCCATGATGTCTAGCATCATGGAATGATCCATATAATTCTCAGCATGCCGTTGCTACACTTAACCTCTGGAGATGCATTCTCTCACGAGAATTCATGTACTGTTTAATGCATTTTAACCAGATATCGAGATGTGACGGTTAATTTAATTCCTTAAATGACTGCCGCAGGGATACCCTGATGGGTATTGCGAAGCACTATGAAACTGGAGAGTGTCTCCCTGAAGACATATATCAGAAGCTTCTTGCAGCCAAGACTTTTCGTGCTGGTACACAGAGTCTTTATCAGGTCAGTATAACATTCATTACTTGCCACAACACATTGTGTGCTTTGTTTAAAGTAAGTGGTTGTCTATTGCTATAAATTGGTAGATTTTTCAAAGTACAGTGCCCTAATAAAAAATAATTTGAAAGTACATTGTTGTAATAAGAAAAAATGAAAGTACAACATTATAATAAGAAATTTTATTTGTAGCTCAAGTATGCAATCCTTGACTTGGAGCTGCATAGCAAGTATGTTCCTGGTGGGCCTGAATCTATCTATGATGTTGATCAAAGGGTCGGGAAAATGACTGAAGTGATTCCTCCATTTCCGGAGGATAGATTCCTCTGTGGTTTTAACCACATATTTGCAGGTTGGTTCTTCATAATGAATCCTTTCATTATGTTTAATGTCAGTGATGAATAGAAGTTTTCTTGCTAATATATGCATCATTGTGGTCATTTCTTATCCATATATCGTTGTTGGTCGTTACAGGCGCGTATGCTGCAGGATATTACAGTTACAAGGTATTTGTTGTTGTTCTTTTTTTTTTATCATACTTGATTAGTTGTGTTCATATGGTTTATAGGGGGTGTTCGTATAGAATTACCCTTTTACCTTTTGCCAAATTCATTTTTTCAGTGGGCAGAAGTGTTGTCTGCAGATGCTTTCTCGGCATTTGAGGATGCGGGATTAAATGATTACAAGGTATGGTTTTGTTTGTGAACGTATTTATAACATGTAAGAATATGTGGAACCCCTGATTAATCTCCAAAAGAGCCCTTGAGGAAAGAAGGGAGGTTCCAACATATATGCATGAGAATTGGTCCAAGGAGGTTAGATGGGCACAAATTGTCCCAAAATATCTGTAGGGGGGCAAAACGGGTGATGGGGTTAAACGAGTATAGATTGCCTCAGAGTGGTAGACATTGGCTCTTAATATCATGTGAGAATACGTGAAACCTTAGATTAATCTCAAAAGAGCCCTTGAGGAGAGGGAGGTTCCAACATACATACAGAAGTACTGGTTGAATTCTAGCCGATGTGGGACTCTGATAAATATACGCACACATTAGTTTTCTATTGACAATCATTTTGATGGCATGTGTATATAATCTGGTAATGCATCCTAAATGCAATTGATTCATGATTCTCTAGATCCTGTACATAAAACTGCTCTATATGACACGCTCAAGTGAAAATTGGAAGCATTTTTTTGGTCTACGACAGGCATTACGAGACACAGGACACAGGTTCAAAGAAACTGTACTTGCTCTTGGAGGCGGAAAACATCCATTAGAGGTTAGATGTGTTTTATAATTATTTACACCTTGAATAATCTCATGGAAACTCGAAGAAAACAACCACCTTGAATAATCTCATGGGCCCGTGAAGAGAAAGACCATGAGAATCCCCGGTGGCCATAAAGTAGCTTATAAGCTAGTTTTCAAAAAGTTACTTAAAGTAACATTTCAATAAGCTCTATGTTTTTTTTTCCACTTATGCCCCTTATCTTTTACATAAATGACCAAAAACCCTTTAAGGTAATTTTACATTGTCATCTAACTTATCAACTAGTTTTTACCAAACTTGGCTAGTTGCTATTAGCTTATTAGCAATATCGCCAAACATAGCCTAACCATCTTTATTGTGAAGCTTTAGAATATATAGTCTTATTCCGATCAAAATTCTGAGACTCAAAATGCAGGTTTTTATTGAATTTCGAGGCCGTGAACCCTCTCCAGAGCCACTGCTCAGGCACAATGGCCTGGTACAGACAACTGCATGAACATCCACATACCCATTGTTACCTTCACTCCAAATGATGCCTAGAATAGTTCTAAAGGTTTATTAGGGGACGGTTCAAATAAAAAAAGAGCTAAATATCATGAGAACGTAAGAAGGGAAGATTCATTTGAAAATGTATATGTGAACCGATGTTACAGATTATTCATATGTATGCATTTTCAAATGGACTTTTTTAATGATTCACATATGAACCTTCACTTCTTACCTTTTCACGATATTTAGTCTTCTTATTTGTATCTCCCACCAGTTATGTATATATATATATATATAAATAGTACTCCCTCAGTCTGCAAAACAAGTCCATTTTATAGTTTTAGAGGGAGATTGCTGTTGTAAAATGAAATGTATTCTAGAATGATCATATTTACAAGGAGATTGTTTCATAGTTGCTCAAAGGAAAAGCTACATACAGAAATCATGTATACAAACTATCAAAAAAAAAAATTTTGATTAACCTGGATATCCAACCCGTTATGCGAGCCGACTAATCCCAGACGACCACCTGCTTTGCAGATAGCCCGGAGTCACTGCATTTGAACCTCCGTGGCCACAAGGGGATTTTTATTCCTCCTTGGATTTGAACTTGGGACCTCCCGGTACTTTTGACCTTTTGAGCCGAGCTCAAACCAATCAGACACTATCCTTGTGCTACTGTAATGTCATAGACTAATAAGACGGTTTTTTTAAGGTGTTCTAAGAAACTAGCTACGACTTCTAAAAAACGTCATATTAACTTATTGTAACACTTTTACAGCGAACACTCCTGTTACAGTAGCAAACTTATGTTGTTCTGGTATTCCCTTCAAAACTATGCTACTAAACTTCACGAGCCATACATATCCACAATATATATACATATACATATATATATACATATATATATATACATATATATACATATACATATATATATATATATATACATATATATATATATATATTAGATTGAACAAAAGAAAAGCTGCAACAAGTGAAGGTTCATTCAAGCTAAAATTTCCTGTTTTCTGAACATTTTCTTATTCTCACCATAAATATCCACCCATTTTCATCCTCATGTCCTCTGATTCTTGGAAGCAAAACGAAGAACGATATAAAACAAGACCCGATACAAGATCGCCCATCCGAACATTATGTAAATATTGGACCACCTCTCGTCGTTTTCATGATAAATGTGCAGCGATTGCAGGATGTCGATTCCGGTCACATTTGTCCCTATAAGAGTCGTCCCAAAAACTTCATTTCTTTGGTACTCGTTTAACAGAAGCGCTTCATACGGGTACGTCATGGTCGAAACCTTATTCATCCAACGCCACCACGGTGGAATATCTTGACTGCTCAAGAAATACCCACAAAACAAGAAAAACAGCGCTGTAAAAGCAATAACAGCCGCATACCCGAGAATGTAGTTTGGAACGACCGAGCTCACAAACACAACGAACGAGTTTGTGGAGAGTAGAGAAGCGTAGAGAACAAGCAGAAAGTAAAGAAACGGGCCTTCGAGCTTTAAGGCGAACCAGGTGATCCCGGCATACATTGCAGCCTGGAGTAATAGAAATGGGAGATAGGTTATGAGGCCAGAAATGGTGTAAGTAGAGGCTCGATAGGCGTTATGAGAAGTTTCTCTAACGAATATGAAGCGTTCTTGGATAAAGGCGGGAACCGCATCATTTGAAGAGAAGAAAAAGAGGCAAACGGTGAAGATGAAGAAGCTGAGCCGGTTAGTTATTCCTTGCATTGATCTATCGGGTTTCGTAAACAATGTGGCCATCATGAACCCCATGATGCTTAACACCACGAGGCGTGATAGAAACAGCTCGGGTGTTCTTCTGATGTTTATAAAGTTTCGGCGCATTAGAATCCATGTTTCCGGGAAGAAAGAGTTTGCGAATTTGGGACCTAAATGGTTGTATTTTGCAGCATTTGGAGCGTTGTTCGGGGTGAGATAGTCGTCTTCGTTCACCGTGTAGTCACTGCTGTGTGGAGTCGGGGTTCCTGCTACAATATCGCTCGAGTAGGTGTAGTAGCCTGGGGATGCACTGTAAGAAAAACGATATAAGTCACGAAACCCAGTATGCCAGACCAAACCGACTCGGTATATCACATTCAAAGGTAGGGTTTTAAAGCGGAATTTATACAGACATGTTCTCTACTCCAAATCATGGCTGTGTGTTATGAGAGCATCTCCAATAGATTGTCCAAAATGAAGATTTTAGTTTTATATAAAATTTATTTAAATGCATAGAATATTTAAATAATATAATTAATGTTGAAATTATAGACGAGCTGTTGCATATTCTTCATAGATATGTTAGATTTTGAATGTATCGTCAATGTTGTTTACCTTGCAGGATGCGGTGTTCTCTGATCGCTATGCGGACGATTTGGAGTGAGTTTAAGCGATTGCATAATTCCGCTTTGGCTCCATGATTTCGAGTTATTCCACGGGCTTCTTACGCTATGATCAAAATCCTTAAGTTGATCGGGCCGTCCAGCCGTTTGTAGGTGAAGCCTCTTCCTCGAGCCACCTTTATCCTCGCTCTGTTTATCAGACCGATCATGATTCCGCCTTGGTGGTGGGGTCGGAGAAGGTGGGATTGTTGAAAACGACGTTTCGTTTTCTGAAAGTTGCGGCGGTTTCATACCCGTAAGCGCAAATTCAGCCAATGCATCGACTCCATAATCGGATTGATCATATTGTTGTATCACGTCGATAAGGAACTCCATCGGGTCTTCGCCTTTAGGAAGTTTACGACCCATTCGCCCTAGATGGTGGCCCACGTTTTTCGGGGATCCTTGGTACATGAGTTGACCACGAGCCAATACAATGAGGTGGTCGATTAGAAGTTGCATTCGGTACGAAGGTTGGTGGATCGTGAGAACAACCGTGCTTCCTGTGTGGGCAATGTCGTGAATCTTCTCGATCACACTCTGAGCACTGGTTGAGTCCAAACCCGACGTAGGCTCATCAAGGAAAAGCAGGGATGGTCCATGGATGATGTCGACACCAATCGATACCCGACGACGTTCGCCTCCCGAAACTCCTCTACTCCCTTCGTCACCGATGTATGTGTTCCTTGCTGTCTACATTTAAACAATCAGTCTATAAGAGTATCTACAACGGTTTTTCCATAATTTCTTCAGATAAAAGTCCAAATCTAAAAAGGAGTAAGTTACATGTTTCGTTCTTGTGTTTAGGTGTTATTGACGGTTATTGTCCCTTTATTTAAAATTGTGTATTTGTGGTTGCGTTTTTTAACGAGTTTCATTCTTGTGCTTGTATTTTTCTAATGAGTTGGATTCCTATGGTTGCAGTTTTTAATGAGTTCGTCCCTAAATAAATCAACAACCTACGTCTTCTAGTTGAATTAAGGACCTAACTTGTAAAAATACAACCATAGGGACACAACCCGTTGAATTTTCAAAATGGAGACAAGGACCGTTAAAAACATATAACCGTGCGTTTGGTATGCAGACTACATGGGACAGGACGGGACAAAGAAAAATAGTCTCATGTTTGGCATGTCATGGACAAAAAAAACATGGGACAATGTGAGATTATTTTTAATTTTAATGGGACAAATCTTGATATTTCTTGTTCCACCAAAAAAGGTTGAATAACATGGGACTAAAGTTAAAATAACAATTTTTTGGTTGATTTGTTGTCATTTTACAATCATTATATGATATAAAATAACATTGAACAACATTTAGAGGTAATATGGTCATTTTAATAGTTTTGTTCTGTCCTAGTTGTACCAAACATAGGACAGACAATTAGTCATGTTTCGTCCCGTCCTGTCCCGTACCGTACCGTCCCGTCCTGTCTCATCCAGTCTGCATACCAAATACTACCATAGGGATGAAACATGTAATTTTTGTCTTTTGAAGATTTCATCATCAATTATAGAGTGAATTACATTGATGGTCTATGTGGTTTGTTCAAATTTTGGATTTGGTCCCTAAAACAAACTATCTACACCGGTGGTTCATAACTATTTATTTTCATAGCACTCATTGTTAGGGGTGAGCACGGGTCGGATCGGGTCGGGTCGGACCATAAACCGACAAACCCGATCGGGTATCGGATTATAATATCATGCCCCGTAATATGCAGTTCGGGTTCAGGGAAAGTTCGGTCCGGGCCAGTTCGGGTTCGGTCGGGTTTCGGGCGGGTTCGGGCCAATGAAATACCTTTGTTTCTCACATTATCATGGTTTTTTCTCTCCATTGTTTTCGCCAAAGATAAAGAGTGTGCGTGAGTATTTGCCGTGTATAAATATTTTATACTTCAAAAAATAAGACATTTGTGGGTTTAATGCTTAAAAATGTATATTTTCTCATGAAAACCTTTTGTCAAAATGAAAGACAAAGATTGACATACACCATGACAATTCAAAGGTATCTAAAACTAGTAATAAAAGTTGAATAATTCGGGTTTCGGACGGGTTCGGGTTTTGGATCATGAGATCCTACCCGATCCTACTAACCTGATATAATTTTCGGATTTCGGACCTCGGGTTGGTTCGGTTCATAGATATCGGTTCGGATCGGGGGTTTTCGGTCGGGTTTTTCGGGTAATTCGGGTTGGGTCGGGTTTTGCACAGCCCTACTCATTGTCCCTCCACTTAACAACATTAGCTGGTAACTGTTATGAAGGACTAATCGGTTGTTAAACAAACTATAGAGGCCAAAAGTTTAATATGCTCTAAAATTTAACGTGATTCACGATTTTTTTTATTTTTATTAGAAAATATTTTATATATCCATCACAAATCAAATATCTTAAAAATAAAATATATATTAAATAAAATATATATATATATATATATATATATATATTTGTTGTAGTTATGGTTTTTCTTAACTATTTAAATATTTTTTAATCTTAATTTATAATTTTTATTTTGTTGTTATTTTAATTATTTGTAATTTGACTATATCTTAATAATAGTGGTGTCTGATTGGTTTGAGCTTGACTCTAAAAGTCAAAAGTACCAGAAGGTCTCAGGTTCAAATCCAATGAGAAATAAAAATCCTCTTGTGACCACGGAGATTCAAATGCAGTGACTCCGGGCTATCTGCAAAGCAGGTGGTCGCCCTGAGATTAGTCGGCTCGCATAGCGGGTTGGATATCCAGGTTAATCAAAAAAAAATCTCACTTCAACCAAACTTAATTTCATTATTTTGCTAGCATATTTTAATTCTCAACCCAAAATATATGTGACTTGATTTACTAATTTTTAAACTTGAGATTTTTTAACGGTAATTTTCTTATGAATTTAATAGTTTCTAAATAAATGTAATTCTTTTTTTAATATGTACTTTATTTTAAGAAATTTGATTTGCGATTTTAATAATAATAAAAAATTTAAAAAACGTGTATCTCGGATTCTTACCGATAGGCCAAGTTGCTCGATCAAAGTCTCGACACGCTGCCTCTTTTCCGCCCTCGAAATCGATCCTAATCGAAAATCAGCAGCAAACATCAAAGTCTCGTAAACCGTTAGCATCGGGAACAATCTATCCTCCTGCATTATATAAGCCGCGGTTCTCTTGATCAAACCGGGGCTTATCTCCACCCCATCCAACGACACCTTTCCCTTGAGACTGCCGCTAGCAATCCGCCCGGCTAGCCCATCCAAAAGCGTTGATTTCCCCGCACCACTAGGACCCATAACCGCCGTGATACACCCTTTCGGTGCATAACCCGTGATCCTATTCAGCAAATCCGCTTCTCCTTTCACCCATTTACCTTCTTCCGTCTTCTTCTTCTTCATCACCGTATACGTTAGGTTCATGAACTCTAACCCACCCGTAAAATTCATCGGCTTCACCATATCGATCACCATATCCGGGCTGCCGCCCTTATACTTACGACTCATTTTACGAAATTCCCGATACCGTGATTTGGTCTCTTTTTTAGATGTTCATAATTTTGTTGGGGTGAATTTAGAGAAGGAATTAAAAAGGGGATTCTACAGTAGGTATATATGTGAATAGGAGGCAATTTCAAAGCTGCATAGTTCTATAAGTTTGGATCCATTAATGGAGATGAAAAGGATTTTTCTTGTTTCCTTCATCATATGTTTTTTTTAACTTTCTTAAAAATTACCACCACTGCCCTTGGCTACAATTTTCGGGTTCTTTTATGCGGTTGTCGGGTTCGGGAATAAAAACCTTTTCGTTTTCAAATCCCGTGTACCCTTCTTGTCCACCAATCAAGTAAAAAACAATGTTCTAAAAGATTCGCCACGGTTATCACAAGTAGAAAATGGAGATCGAAACGGGAGATGGACTGTGTAGATTTTCCCGAGTTCCTTGGAGTCAGTTGTCTCGTGCCCCTAGGTATTTTCTACCTATCCACCTGTGTCGGTTCTGGGTACTTCTAATTCTAACTAAGGATTCGTGCGGTTCCGGAATATCCAACCAATGGACTAACTCGAATCTTGTAGATGACGATGAAGCGGGCTATTATGCGCTTGTTACACACTCTTTCAAGGTGGTTGCTTCTCGGCAAACCTCATGGTTGTCTGCCCCATACGAAACTTTCGTTATGGGGTTAGCCATGCACTTCACATGTTTCTAACGATTCACATAACATCATTAAATGCCGAATAAACGGTTTATGTAACATGATATTTGATTTCTCTTACATTTTATGTTTTAATATATATCATAAATTTAAATTGTTTATTGTCATTTAGTTACTAAGTAATAGTATAAAAACATATGTGTGTATATATATTTACAGGTCGGGTTTATGGGAAAACAATTAAAAAATAACGAAGAAACGGTTTAGGAACTATTCATCTCTACAATCTGTATATATGCATACAAGTAATTTATAAGTAAATCTTTTGGTATGCACATGTGCTTGCATTGAAACCAGAAAACATCTCCAATTACATGTATGGACACGTGCATACGTCAAAAGAACGGTTATCAGTGGTTCCTCAGCTTTTCATTTTTTTGGGTGTTTACCCGTGAACTGCACTCTATAATTATATATATATATATATATATGATATAAAAATTTGTCAGGTAAGTCACATCTTGAAAAACATTGTAGTCTCGTTGTAGTTCTCCTAACTCCTAAGGCTTGACTTCGCCGCCGCGCCACACCTCACGCCACTTAGGCACGTGGTAAAATAATGATGTGTCTTCACATCATTGGTGAGATATAAGATTTGGAGAGAGATATTTTTATTGGTCGGGATGTAAATTTTTTGGTAATGAAAAAGACATGATTATGATAAATCGGCTATGTGAAAAGAATATTTGAGACAACATCATTTTAGCCGTACGTATGTCTTTCTCGATTAATTGTTATATTGTTTTGTCATGTGGGTTGATATTTAAGAATGAAATAAAATAAAATAAAACGTCAACTTTCGCCGTAGTTGTCATTGATTTTCCTAAAGCTGTGTAGAAATTTTTGGACGTAGTCAAGTGGAAGGTTGCAATTGGTTAATAAGATGCTATTTGCACACATCTTTCTCGACTTATATTGTAACATTTTTAGACGATTTGGCTCCAATTTCGCTTCTATCTTAAAGAACGGAACTAGACAAGACTTGAGCAGGAAGAGTGCTGAGGAATCTGGATCTTGTGGTTAGTATAGACTTGGATAAGTTTTTGGGCCGTGAACAACATATTACTTCCAAATACTATGTTTCGTCCTTAGATATGCCTTAGGTTAATATGAAATTAGTTATAGATAATCCAAAATTTTAATACACGGATTAAGGCACCAACTCGTATATGTATATTCACCAGATCAACTGTTTATGTATTTATAAGAGAGATCGACGATTACTAGCAGTTTGGTGGTTAAATGTAATTGCTTATCACTTATAAATGCTAACAAATAAGATTTAGCGATGGTTACAGTTGACTTCAGAGGTTTTCAGTCAGAACCACCGAACCTAGAGGTGAAACCCATGATCAGTTAGAAAACTACTCAATGTTCAAAATCGTTGGACAAAAGGTCCAAAGACTCTCGAACGTGACTTAGGCTATAAAGACTTAGAACCTCTTATCGGAAAGATCAGAGACTCTGAACTATACTTGGGCGAATTTTCACCTAGTTTAAGAACAATTTCAAGAAGGTTTCCAACCCTCTGAAATTCATTCAGATCATCCCGAAACTTCAAATTTCTGAGTAAACCTCCTCTTAAAATCCGTAAAGAATTCGGGACGCTAAGCTGATAGGGGCAACATTTGTGAGTGTGCACTGCACACCTCCTAATTCACGTTGTTTGCCTTGACACCTTGATCAATCTCAAGTAAATCACAATTACACCAAACAATTTATGACACTAAAATCACCAACATAAAGTAAAGTCGGCAAGTAAAAGAATTGTAAGAGGTTTTAGAGTTTCAATTTGATACAGATAGTTTAGTAATTTACCAAGTTCGTTTTATCTCCCTAATTGTTGTTCCCCAAATGCATTACCATCCCTCTCAATCTTGTCCGGGTCCAAAACTGATATCGTATTATCAGATCAAACATGAAACCAGAAGTTTTCATTCTGTCATATTTTATTGTGTCCCATATATTAAAACACATAATACCCTTGATCTCTAGAATAGCAATTGTGGAGTGCATTGCTTACGTGTATAATAAAGAAATTTAATTTGTATTTAATTTCTTGGAAACGATATTAATTATTCAAAAGGATTAAATAAAATAAGTAGCTTTACAACTAGTAGATATACAAATTTACTATAAATAGTATGTACCCTAAGCATTTATAGTCGCATGTTTTAGAATTTTTATTCATGTTATACATGTTCAATACTCTAAAAACATGTTATGTATGAAAACGTTTTACTTACGTTCGTAGGGTCAAGTCTGAGATATTACCGGTACATAGCGAAGACGCATAAACCAAATATATATCATAGGGTACTTTTGTAGTTAGTGTGTTCAGATCTAAATCTTATACATTGTGGTCAGTCTACTTGGTGGTACAAGTATGTTTGTATGACATCCATCGTGTTGGTTTAGATTTAAGGAATCGTGTGATAATAGGAGTTATGATGATAAACGTAAGAAGGAATATGGACCCTTGATTTAATCTCAACCCCACCCCATGAATTATGCTTATCACGAGAATTGATCTGATGCATCTCGGTGCACTACATTAGTGTTGATCTTCAATTATGTTTGATCCAAAGATGGAGATCTCTTCTTATCATTTTCACCTTTCCCACCATAATTTGCATTCTCGTCGGGACCCAACCTTGCGTAGACAAAGAATCGTATGAGAATAGGAGTTAAACTAGAGAAGTGTAAGAAATGATTTGGATTCTTGAGAGTTTTAGATTTATAGGGAAATTGACTGAAATAGTCGATTTCTTCATCTCGTTTCACTTTTTTGCCATATTTTCAAGTCAATTCCCAAAATAGTCATTATTTGCGCAAATGCTTAATTTATTTACGCAAATGCCCATTTTTTTTTTTTCTTTTTTTTTTATAAATAAAATGTGATTTACATAAAGGCGTAAAGAATAACTAGGTTTGAAAATTTGGCTAAAAATATGGACATATTAATGTTGCTAGTTTGGGAATTGACTTGGCAACATTTTGACGGTTCTTACTTTTTTAGTGTTTGCTTCTAAAAATATATCATTTCTAAATATATTTTTTATTAATACACATATATTTAGAAGTTTATAAATAGATATATTAATTAAGAGTAAAGTTGTCATTTAATTAAGAAGAATTATATGGTACTTATTTTGAGATGAAATGAATAACAACATTTAAAAACTAAATGAATTTTTTTTTTTTTGGGTTTAAATCATATCTAGACTATATTATAATGAACAAATTATGATAATCTTTCTTAAATATCCATAAATCCTATAAATATCTCAATAAATTAATTTATATCTTTAGTTAGGTAAAAGATCACAAGTAAGTATATATACAGGAGGTGTTTGTCTTTGTATAGCCCATAAAGTAGAGATGATTTATTTTTGTATGGTCCATAAAAATGGGCATCTTTCTTCTATTCCCATATATGTTTATGTTCCCTTCCTCCACTTGCATATATTCAATCTCTCAAGAAACAAGAAACAAGATGATGGTCATCTGCTACCCACACCCACTCTTGGTACTTGGTACTGGTATTGGTATCATTCTCTAACTCAATTCTTTACTTGCCTACTCTCATCCACCACCAATCCTCAGGACCATTAACCAATGCATTTTTGTAAGCTTTGGTAGATAGATCTGAAACGTTTAACAGCTTTCTTTACCTTTTCAGGAACCCAAACAGATGACAGTTTTCAGCACCTTTTATATTTCTTCAGATCTAGCATCACCATGTGCCCAAGAGCCTCACCGCTAACTCCACCTCATTCATTGTCGTCCCGAGATTACTCACTGATTCGTTGTCGTCGTTCAGAGATTAGTCAGCACCCGTTACAGAAAGAAGAGTTAAGAAGAAAACCAAGCATATAATCTCACCCACAAAATGTTTTCATTAACATACTTCCACTATTTACATATTTTTCATTACTACATTCCTTCCTTAACTTCTTCTATTCAAGCTTTCATTACCTAACTCTTTCTTTACATATCTCCAATCAAAAACCATCTTTACCCCCCAAAAACTCATATTCAACATCTATTACTCCTCTTCATTACATCCATTCCCTGAAGAAGATGAAGAAGAACCAGAATCTGCACACACAAATCACCTCATTATTAGCAACAATAACAGACAACTTTGCAAAACCTTTTAAACAACCAAACCCCATTTACCACTAGATGAAGAGGAGGAATCACTTGAACTGCTACAGCTACTACTACCATTAACACCATCCTTCTCTATCTCCACACATGGGAAATTGCTTACTGCCATCTCCTCTTCTCCTATGTCAATATCCTCCTCTCCACCATCCCTTGCCCTTTTCCTGCCCTCTTCTTCCATCATAACTTCCTTACTACCTGCACACTGATACCCAACACCAAAAACAATTCAATACCTGCTCAGATACTTTATTAATCAAATATCCATCAAACTATAGATACATACATATCAAATACTTACATTGTTAGCCTGTACACAAGAAACCAAGTTAGTGTTCATGTTAGAAGTTGTGGAAGCTTTCTTGCAGGAGCTACCAATGAAGCTATGCAGCTCCCAAAGCGTCTCATCATCAAGAACCCCAAGATCTAGCTCTATTTCATCTCCTTCTTGTTCCACACCCAAAACCCCCTTCTTTATGATACCCATTATCTGATCCATCCCTTCTGGCCCTAATTGCAAATTCAGTAAGCTTGCTGCCAGCTCTGATTTCTTCTCTGCTGTCATCACCAGCTTGTTTGCATCCCTACTTATTGGCATTGGCTTCCCCAAAATAGCAGACTTCTTGAGTACAGCCACTTGAGGAGCCACATGATTCGATGTTGTCACATTAGACACTGGTATCTCCAATTCAACAGCAGCTGCATCTGAAACTGGTTTTTCCACTAAAACAGGTACTTTGGCAGAACGATTTTGCTTCTTCGCTTGATTTCCCAAAGTTTTCTGAGGAGTTTGATTAAACATGTCTTCGAAAAGCAAGAGAAGACGCTCAGCCATCAGGAAAACACCAGAACCCTTGCCGTTATAAACCATGGCATTTTGGAATGTCAATCTTACGTCTGATGCAAAAGCAAGGGGAGAATCATACTCATTTTTAGCAAGCTTTGATTTAATGGTTCCAAGATCCATGGGGTTAGTAATAATGGTATGATAATCATAGAGCTTCAAGGCAGCCGCATCAACTGGAGCATTGAAAACCCAACCATGCTTGTGCTTCATCAGCTTCGCTAAAATTTGACCACATTTCCTCATCACCACCTTACTCCTCTGCACATTGTTCTTTACACGGCCACAGTGCTTCTTCGTATCTCTGATCGACGGAGCCGGCTTAGTCCGTTTCTGGCCTACCGCGCTCTTTTGGCGTTCTTTCCCTTTCAAAGCAACTTCTGGAGCCGTTGGTAACTCCAGCTGCGGTGGATGATAATTCTTTTTAGGTACCGGCGTTGAACACACCCAATGCCTGAGAGCCCGTACCCGTTCTAGATCCGAGATTAACCGTTTTTTGAGCTCTTTGAGCTCTCTTCTAGTGTACGAACTAAGACGAAAAGTTATGTACCTGTAGCCATAGGAGTTCACCGGCGCGGAATTGATCGATGAACCGGTAAACGCGACTCCTGGAGGAGCAGCAGACGGCCTCTGTTCACGATTTTTCCAAATAACATCTCTGCTGGTGTTACCGATGAAGAAATGGTTAGGGTTAGGGTTAGGGTTAGGGTTAGGATTAGGACTTATGATATTCTCTAATCTGGTGAAATTAAGCTTACTATTGTTAGTGAATTTACTTATATCACTCGAGCGTGTTTCATTCCTGCTATGTAAAAAGGCAGATGCCATAGAAATCACAATGACGATCAAAACAGACAGCAAAGAAGGGGCACTGTTGAATCAAAATGCTATTCTAATCTCCGGCGAGAAAATGGCGGGAAGCCATAGGAGCGGTGAACGGAAAGAGTGGTCGCCGGAGAAAAATTGAAGGGGGAGGATGAGGCGAGGGTTTCAATTTGAAGGCCCTCTTCCTCACGAGGCGAGTGAGAAAGGAAGGTTGCTATCGTGTCAATTTTTATAGGGCAACGGATCTGCCCGATTTATAGCTGGGGCAAGCTTCTGACCATCGATTTTGGTTTTGACGGTCCTGATGTGCTGCCCGGAACTGATGGAAGAAGGAATTAGCTGTGAAGGAAGGCCATAGATTGTTTTACAATCGACACGTGGACGTTGGCGATCGAATGCCTTTCCCTTTTGAGGACTCATTAGCGAATTCTTCTTATTTAAAGTTGCATGCTTATCAACCGTAAATTAATTTATTTTTCCAAATTTAATAAAAAAATCTTTTTAAGTTATTATTTCAGGGTGTTTTTTAATTTCTTTAAATTATATCCATCGTATAATTGAGTTCTTAATATCGAAATAAAATATCTGAAATAACAATTTATTTTTATAATTTTATTATTATAGTATTTTATTTTCGGTTTTTCTTATTATAGTGATATATTTTTCAATTATTTTTATTATAGCATCGTACTTTCAAAAATTTAACCGTCATCGTATTGGTAACCTTTTAAACAAAATTTACCCCTTATACCAGGTTTTGTTGTCACTTCATTTTCCGCGTAGCCTGTCCACATGTACGATAATACTGACATGACATTTCTTATTATAACATTATACTTTCAAAATTATTTTACTATAACATTACTAATTTCTATCACAACATTGTACTTTTAATTTTAAATTTTTTTCACTTAAACATTGTAAATTTGATCATATATGTTTACTAAAAATTATAATATCAAAAATTAAATATGTTTACAAAAGATCATTATTTCACGAATAAAAATATTCATAAAAAATCATGAGTTCATCGAATTTCATCGAAAATTTTATGTCTAGTTGTACTTGTTATGGCACAGGTTTATTAGTTTAACTAACTTCACAGTAACACAGTAAGTGGTCAAGGTCATCTTTACTTTCTCAATAAAACCAGTAAAAGTAGGATGTTAAGCCAAGATTGTCTTTTATAAAGTAAACCATGAAATTTACGATGAATTCGATGAATGAATGGTTTTTTATGAATATTTCTATTCGTGAAATAATGATCTTTTGTAAACATGTTTAATCGTTGATGTTATAATTTTTAGTAAGCATATTTGATTATATTTACAATGTTTAAATGATAGAAATATTAAATTAAAAGTACAATATAGTAATAGAAATGGATGATGTTATAATAAAGTAATTTTGAAAGTATAATACTATAATAAGACATGTCATGTCAGCATTATCGTACATGTGGGCAGCCTACATAGACGATCAGGTGGCAAAAAAATCTGGTATAATGGGTAAATTTAATTTAAAAGGTTACCCAATGATATAACATGTAAATTTTTGAAAGTACGATACCCTAATAAAAAATATTTTAAAAATAAATTGTTGTAATAGAAAAACTAAAAGTATAATACTATAACAAGAAAATTTGTAAAAGTAGGTTGTTTCGTGGATTTTGCTCTTAATATTTTTAAATTGTTTACATTATCATTTAATTTTTAACAAACATAACCAAAATTATTCATGTACAACTTATTTATTTAATTAACTTGTGTTCGATCTCGTGTATTATACGGGGTACGATGATCATTGAAAGTACGATGTTACTCCAAACTTGTACTCTTGAAATAACTCTGAAGAATAATTCTTCAGAGTTGAATTTAGAAAAGAAACTGTTAGTCCCGAAGGGAAAAGCAATAAACAGAAAGTAATTGTAGAAGGGGGGTTGAATACAATTACATAGATTTTTTTCAACTTTTTAATTCTTATTGATTTATATCAAGAATTAATACACAGAAATACAAAAGATTATTGCGGAAGATAGGAAAGGAAAACCTAACCTAAACAATCTTACAAGGAGAAGAACTTTCAAGAACAACACAAAGAGTTCTTGAAAGGAAATGAAGAACACTAAGAATTTCTTCGCACACAGGAGAGCAAGGGAGTAGAAGAGAATAGCCGATTGCTTTGAGAATGCACTAAGTAATCTTTCTAAAGCCAGTTATTTGCATGGGAGATGCACACTGCCTTTTTATACTACCTTCAGCATTTAATGCATGGGGACACTTGTCACTTGAGGATAAGAAGGCAGGGGTTGACTTGACCAATGTTGATATCTCATTTTCATCGTACATAGCGTGCATACAACACAGTTCATGCAGAGACAAACTTACACAGTTCATGCAGAGACAAACTTTGCAGAGATATCGTCAGTCTGTAGGAAGATCTCCTTTGGATGGATATGTAGCTTCAAGCAGCTACATACAAATCTTCGGTCCATGGAGATTTTCAATCTTCGGTCCATGATCTT